GAAATGCTGGTTTATAATCTTTTTCCGGTAAAATTCTACTTCTACTGAACTATTCTAATAACAATAAATAAAAGGCAATGTAAGAGTCAAATACATTTAAAATTGTAACATAATTAAATAGAATATATAACAAATAAAGAAAAATAAAAATTAAAACAGTTTAAAATACAAATATAAAATATTACAATAATATTAATAAAATATAAAACATTTCGGCTACCGGATTGAGCCCTCTTCAGACATTTACATTTCACAAAAATTGCTGTACAAAATTAGTTCTTGAAAATAACCGCATATTTTTTAAATTAATAGCTCGAGTGAGTCTTGATGTACAACTCGACATTATTCATGTACTATTGGACAGTCAAAAATGTTTCATGTCTCTTGGAAAAAGATCTAATCGGTGAAAAAGATAAAAAAAAATTCTTCTTAAAAGCTACTGAACCAGATCAAAGTAACATCCCAGAATTCTAATAAATAAAAATTCACCAAAAGCATGTGTAAATTATTCAAATAGTAAAAGTACGTCCATATAAGTGTCAAAATCCAATCAACATGTATTTAATGAAACACAGTTATATAAGCATAGTGTGTCGATTATAATGTACGCTCGCTGATACGGATCAACACGAAGTGAGAGAGGAGACGGACTGTCAGTATCGAAGAGTCAATACTTTATTTACAATAGATGTATATGCCTTATGGAGACATTCAGTGTTGGTAAATTTAGATTATTTTTCTGCTTTTTAATATTGAGCATCTCAAAAATTAAACATTTCCTATAGCAAGGCTCTTCATCCAAGATTGTAACGTTATCCCATTGGTGAGTTTTTATTTATTAGAATTCCGGGATATTACTTTGATCTGGTTCAGTAGTTTTTAAGAAGAATTTTTTTTTATCTTTTTCACCGATTAGATCTTTTTCCAAGAGACATGAAAGAGACACTTTTGACTGTTCAATAGTACGCGAATAATATCGAGTTGTACATCAAGACTCACTCGAACTATTAATTTAAGGAATATGCGGTTATTTTCAAGAACTAATTTTGTACAGCGATTTTTGTGAAATGTAAATGTCTGAAGAGGGCTCAATCCGGTAGTCGAAACTTGTAATGTTTTGTATTTGTATTTTAAACTGTTTTAATTTTTATTTTTCTTTATTTGTAATATATTCTATTTCATTGTGTTATAATTTTAAACTGTGTTTGACTCTTACTTTGCCCTTTATTTATTGTTATTTATATTGTATATAAAGAATCTTTCTATCTGTTAAATGAACTATTCTTGCTACTCGAGTTTATAAAGAAGGGATATACTACAGGGTATGTACCAAAATCCGGACAAATCGAACAATTTCTTTAAACAAAATGTTTTTAATGAAAAATTAAATATTACAAAAAATCCTTTTACATGGCACTTGAGGAATCCCTGTAGAGCACAATTATTCGATATATCCCTCATTGAATGACGGCCTCTATTCTCGGTCTGAACGCACGCACGCTGTAATATAGCGGTGTCCATGCCGACGAATGCCTCAATAGCGGTCCTTAGTGACATCACATTGGGATGTCGAGACTTGTTTGTGACTTTTCAACTACGCTCCATACGTAGTAGTCCAAGGGATTTAAATCTGGGCTGTTGGGAGACCAGAAATTCCTTGGATCAAAACATATCGATGTTATCTGAGAACTAATTTTAAATCAAATGACTCGTATAAGTCGATGCACTGTCCTGCTAAAAAACATATGGCCTTTCGGACGCCACAATTTCCATCCATGGCTTCATTACATCCATCAGAAGGCGCAACAATTGCCCTGATCATCCGAAATCAGCGCTTGAGCCCTTTCAACAACTGCGGGGGTCCTCGCGGTGCGTTCTTTCGAGTGACTCTTCCTGGCATACTAGAACCTTGGACTGTTCTAAAACCGTATATTTTGTCACGTCATAAATGATTGATCTCGGGTCATGGGCTCGTGCTTGTTTGTGTTACAGCGTCGAACCACGATAAATGGCCGAACTTATAGGCGTAGAAAAGTGACGTTTTTACGACGAAATTTATATTGCGTGCTATTTCATTATTATTTGCTTAATTGTGAAAATGTGACTTTTCTCGTACTCATCGAAGTCGTAATTATGGATGAAAACTAAAGTTATCTTGGAATTTTATATGTAAAAGCGTATATTTTATTCATTTCAACAGCTCTGTGTGTTTCTGCCCGAATATAGGCTCACTTTACGTATCTTTTACGACCATTTACTGACTGTCAAGAGAGGAAAGGACAGTTTTCATCTATTTTTATAAGTGTTTTAAAGTGATCTCGTCATTTCGTTTCATCCAAATTATCTTTATTTAAAAATGGCACACAACATAAATTAACATGCCATTCATTGCTTCTGATGTCACGATTTCAACATGGCCGCTGCGACTAGTCAGGAGCCTTAATAGCATTCACAACGTTCATAATTTACACGATTCTATAACTCAATCACACACGCTAGATACTTTAACTCTCATTGGGAATGCTTCTAATTTTTCTTATTTTTCTAAATATTCATATTTTTTAATGATTCTAATTTTTCTTATTAATATGCTTCTTATTTATGTTATTTTTCTAAATATTATATTTATGTTTTACTACTATGTTATTATATCGAGATCTAACAGCGCCAAATATTTTTACATGAAAAATGTTTCTATTTAAATTAAATTTTTTTCATTTTATACAGTTAATTTTTTAATTTTTAGTGGTAACAATTGAGCAAGATAACGCAATTTTGTGATAATGTTTTGAAGGAGAATTAAATAACCACTACTTTAGTTGGAAGAAAAAAATGTCTTTGAATGAATTGTGATATAATAATTTCATTTAAAAGGAATTTAAGCCATTCGGATTGGAATAAGAAGATCCTTCAATAAAATATACGCGTATACTTAGGTTTCATTGTATAAAAATTAAAGATAGTACCATTTGGATTAAGTAAATAATAAAGATAGTATCACTTGGGTTTTACTTTTTATTTTGATAGTAGAATTTAATTTGGCGCCACAGTTGTTGATATCAAATCTTTTGTACAAATGATACGTATATACAATTGCAGTTGGTATGGAACGCTTGTGATTGATTTTGCTCTTGTTCAACGTTACACTATTCCGCTGTATGGGTAGGCATCCTTAGGATGAAATCACACGATGTGGAAAATGACTGTGGTATAGAGAATGCGTCATAGAAGCAATCAATCAGCGTTATTCTGCGTTATTCCGAATAGCGCTAATTGGTTGTTTCAATGACGCATTCTCTATTCCGCAGTTCTTTTCCGCACTGTGTGATTTCATTCTTACATTCTATTATAAAGTTAGCGTTTGCGAATTGTTAATGAATTGTAATTCATATCGACCTTAAATTTTATAAAAAGAAAACATCCAACACACACTTTATACAAAATATATAATTTATGTAAATTTAAAAAAAAGAGCAATCTTTATTCTTTACTTTTTACAATTATAAAAAATTATGATTTACGTTTACTGATACGTAAATAAATAAAACAAGACACATATTTTTGTTATAATTTATAATTATATGACTCGTCTTAGTAACTATTGTAGGAAACAAATAAATGAAACTTCTGAATATTTTATGTGACCCTAATTCGTTTGATATATAAAAAAATTATCATTTTTTGTATGATCGTAAATAATAGTAAGATTTTTTTTATTGTTATAGTTTTTTTTATAGTTATGTAATTTTATTCTAATTTCTTATATTATAGAATTGTACTTGCAAAACGAAGTTGCAGAAATAAATCACTCAATTACGCCACTCGCCTTCTATCGAGAGTATGTCTCAAAAAACGTACCATTAGTAATAAGAGGTGCAATAAAACATTGGCCTGCTATAGACAAATGGTCTATACCATATTTTCGCAAAGTGCTTGATGACGAAAAGATTTCAGTCGCTGTAACGCCAAATGGCTATGCAGATGCAATAATTAAAGGAGATAACGGTACCAAGGAATTTTTCGTAATGCCCGAAGAACGTTTACTTACAATATCAACGTTTCTTGACACGTTAGAAAACACAATAGAAAACAGCGTATTTTATATACAGAAACAAAACTCGAATTTTATACACAGTTTTTGTAAGTTGTGGCCGGACGCAGAAATTGAAATATTGTGGGCCAGCGAAGCATTTGGAAAGCATCCTGATGCTGTAAACTTTTGGATGGGAGACGAAAGAGCTGTAACTTCTAGTAAAGTTTTATTTTACTTGGTAACACAAATACTCGAAAGTGCTTGGATCTCTAATTGATATAAGATGATCGTCATTAAGTAAATTTCATTCTCATAATTTCAAGAATTTTACAAAATCTATTTCAGTTCACACATAATTTTATTTTATAGTGTATATAATTAATTCTGAAGATCAGTAACATTGGAATTAAATTACATATTTTTATTATTTATAGTGCATAAAGATCCTTATGAAAATATATATTGTGTTGTGTCTGGTGAAAAAAACTTTATTTTACATCCTCCCACGGATTTACCATGGATTCCATATCAAAATTATCCATCTGCTGTTTACAAGGAATACAAACCAGGGAAATGGATTATTGAGTCAATTAATGAAACGCTTGATTCAGGAAAAACCACAAATTTAACATCAACGCCATGGATATGTGTAGATCCTTTAAATCCGGACTACGAAAAGTTTAGTGACACTATATATAGTAGCGTTTTTTATTTTCAAAATGACATTTTCAAAATTAATAGAAAAAATATATTAAAAAATTTACTTTAGATATCCAGAATATCGTAACACACATAACTTGAAAGTGACACTCAGAGCTGGAGATATATTGTACTTGCCATCCTTATGGTTCCATCATGTGACACAGTCACATGCTTGCATATCCATCAATTATTGGTACGATATGGAATTCGATATCAAGTATGCTTACTTCAAAGCACTGGAGACATTATGCAAATAAATAAGTGATTAAGGCACTCTGTAAACATTTATGTGTATAGATGATACTATTTTATTTTAAGTCATTTGCATGCAAAAGAAATCTTATTCTTATATATTTGTATCTTTCTCTCTTTTTGTATATATCTGTATGTGCACACACAGATATATGTATGCGGTGTACATGTATATATATTCTGTATAGTTGTATGTATATGTTGTTTATGGCGTATAATACATTGCTACATCATATACTATTAACTATTTCATTATATACTTATATACTTATATACTATATCAATACTATATCAAAACATCTACATGTATTTTTTAATTAATATATGTTATTGATATACTTATTAAATGAAATGCTTATTTTATCATTACGTCAATGATACAAAGATAATAACATAATATACGTTATTATTCTTATAGAAGTTACAATCTTACTGTCATGCTTTACGACTGTCAAAAAACTACAAGAAAATTTAAGTCAAGCTGTTTCGTCGTTTTCTCCGGTAAGTAAATTATATTTTCGTTTTGTACCATAATTCTGAGTTTCATACATCTTTCGGTTTTCTAGATATTTCCGATAATTGTTCTCGCGTTTTCTTCGCTGCTCCTCTGCCTGTTGTCGCAGTTTTTCAGGATTCATATGTGTGGTTACCATATGCCTCGTTAATGAACTCATAAATTTGTATGTGATTCCACATACATCGCAAGAAAGTATTTCCTCATTTCCTCCCTGTTGCTATTTGTGAAAAAGAAAAATGATTTATAATTACATATCCAAATAAATTATAAATACGCAAAAAAATATAAGATCAAATGTATTAAGGTAGTTCTACAATAAAGTGCCGAAAATTTGGGATGCCTCACAAAGGCCCATCCAAAACCACAAATATCTACATAATTTGGATAAAATATTAAAATTATGTGCATATTTATATTATAATAAAACAATATGAAATAAATAATATGCAAAACAATTTAAATATGCAAAAACAATGAAATAAAAAGAAGTTTCATTTGATATTAAGACTTCATTGGATATTTTGCCATTCCAACATTACGAGAATGTTCGATAACGCAAGTACCCGTGTTAATAATGAAGACGTAAGCTTTTCATAACAATTTTTTTTATTTTTCAACGTAATCCCCTTTTAGGAGGATACACTTTTCCCAACGCTTCTGTCATTTTTTTAACCTCTCAGAAAAATACGATTTGTCGAACTCTGCAAAATAGGCATCTGTTTTGGCGATGACCTCCTCATTCGATGTGAATTTCTTTCTCTCGAGCCATTTTTTCAAGTTTGGAAACAAAAAGAAACAGGGGGCTAAATCCGGAGAGTACGGTGGATGCGGCAGCAATTCGTAGCGCAATTCGACCAATTTGGCTGTGGCGACTGCGGAGGAGTGAGCCGGTGCATTGTAAGCAATCGCGGCACCCATCGGGCCGACAGCTTTTCCATTCCCAAATTATCATGCAAAATATTGAATGCCGTTCCGTATGACATGCCTATAGCCTCTGCTACTTCATGCACTTTCATTCGGCGATCAGCGAGAATCATGTCGTGGACTTTTTCAATGATTTCCTCAGTAACCACGTCTGTCGGGCGGCCTAGGCGCTCCTCATCAAAAACAGACGAACGACCACGTTTGAATTCATTGAACCAATATCTGACAGTTGTCATAGATGGTGAAGAGTTTCCATAGACGGTATCCAACTTCGTTTTTATTTCTTCGCACGTTTTTCCATCCAAAAATAAGAAACGAATCACGGATCGATATTGCTCTTTTTCCATTTTGTATCGGAAAACATCAAACTACGAATTGCTGTCAAATCAAGACTATTGCATGAATCACTCTGAAATTTTGTATGGCGTCGTTTGAAAGATGGTAGTACACGATGGTAATGCCAACTTGCATCAGCAACGTCGCCTGTCTTAAACACGGGTACTTATTGATTTGCCCTCGTATTACTTTTTTATGACCATTACATAAAAATAAATTTTCAGTGCAAAAATGAAAATAAGAGAAACAATCTTCAGTGACCTTGATCTTAACAAATGTTATTCAAGACATAATCCTGAACAATATTCAAGAAGTTTTAGCCGGTCGAACATCTTGAGTAATGCTAATACCGACAGTACTGTAACTTTCAAACCTTATAACTCGCAAAGTACTTAATGAAAATGAACTTAATTATAGTGTTTTGGAAAGCTCTCGAGCTACAAGAATATGTAATAAAAAAAGGGGGGGTTCTATTTAAAAAATTCATGTTGACCTTGACCTGACCTTGACAACGCCATCCTAGATTAAATAACTATTATCGTTGAATGCGTTTTTTTAAGTTCCTTACAACTTTTATAAGAAACATTTTTTTTCTAAAATGTATCGTTTATAAGACATTTGGGTGTATCCAGATTTTTGCCCCCCGTATAGTATTATATATATATATATATTATATATAGTAATTCAAATTAAATTATTTAAGCATTCAAGAGCTATCTTTAATCGTTACGGCCATTACTTCTGTTTCTTAGAAACTGTTGAATTTTCAAATTTACGATCCAGTAAAATTTTTATTTTTATTATAATCTCGTTTTTTAGAGAAATTTATGGTAATGTTTGTGTACAGTTATTTAAAGTGCGACTCTCATCTGTCATAAATTATAAATACGTTAAAAGTAACATTTTTTTTCTCTTATTTCATCGATAACCTATTCTAGAATTTTGCACATGTCAAATTCGGGACTTCAACTTCATTATATTAAAAAATTAGACATTTCTATGATAACTCAATTTATTGTAGAACCATCTTAATGTGCACATAATTGTAACCGGAAAAATCTATAGCTTTTTTTCTAATTGGTTACAATTTATTTAAAAAGAACAATAATTTATTTCTAAAAAGGAATTAGCCATATAAAAGATACGATGCCTTGCTTATGAAAGATTTTATCAAAAGTATACATGGCGCAGAGGACGCTACTGTTTTTTTTATTGCATATAAAGTATCCGATTTAAAGGATCCATTCAAATATCTCAAAAACACTGCATTAAAGCTCCTGACTACTTAGTCAAGAACTCTGCGTTGACGGTAACAACACAGAATCAGACAGCGGTCTGGCGAAACCGGTAGTCATACATTCAAGCACGAGTCCATGTATGTGTGCTCGCTTTCGGCGCCGAGAGTGAATGAGACAAACTCTTTCTAAATTTATTGCTGAAAAAAATGTAAATTTAACAAATTTTAACGCATGAAATCTGATACGCGCGAGTCGGCAAGCGGTCCGATCTTCCCCCACTCCGTCCGGCGCGCTGCCTCCCTCGCGTTCCTCAACTTTCCAATAGTTTTAAATCAACTTTTTCGGCAGCAAAAGATTCAAGATTATTTAACAGCAAATTCAATTCATCCTTGACAAATTGGTGCCAGAAAAAATTCTTAAAAATTAGAGCCAGTGATTTAAAAAAAAAATTGTCATCTCGGCTCCTATTAATCGAAGGGTAATCTTTTCTTTTTTTAAATTCGTAGAAAAAGATGTAGAATGCTTCACTATTTGATATGATGCATATTACTGGAATTATTCCATTTTTTGATACGAAAAAAGATATCCATTTTTCAAAGTTATTTTATAATAGTTTAACTGCAAAAAATCATTTTGCTACTAAATGTACGTGATAGTACAACTCTTGCAGAAAAAAAATTACCTTCGTAAATTGCTGTGCAACTGTTCAAAAATGCAAATAATTAAGTTTTCCGCACAAATTTTTAATGAATAAATGGTTTTTTGCAAAAATTAATAAACATTTCAAGCTCATTCAGAGCTAGATTTGTTCATCATTATGAGGTTATATTTTACGAAAATTTCGAAGCTTTGCGTTTAAATCTCAATGAACAGAAAGCGAGTGAAAAAAAGGCCTTTTTCGGTGTTTATTTTTTTTCTATTGAACTAATAGATTTTAATGTTCCACATCTCATTTTGTAGGTATTTCGAATATCTACATTTTTCGTATGGAACTTTTTTTCATACAATCAATATCTTTTGTTTTATAAGCGAAAAACGTGCTTTTTGCAATTTTTCAATTTTTTTCGCATATTTTCTTCACAAGTCTCGAGTCTCAAACATTTCTTTCCTGATGGCCTTTCGAAGATTTTCGTGAAAAGAAATGCTGGTTTATAATTTTTCCAGTGAAATTACTTCTATTGAACTATTCTTGCTACTCGAGTTTATGAAGAAGGTATATAAAGCGCATGAAAAAATCGTAAACGATTAAATATATCGTAAACTGTTGCATTTTAATGATTTATACATGATTTATACTATCCTGGATTAATGGAAGGTGTACACTATTACTATTTATTAAAACTTATATGTTTAGAATGATTCTCGTCCCTTATCGATGCCATGGACCGAAATTGCTGAAAAGGCATTTTCGATCGCTTGAAACAAACGAGTGTGAGAAAGAGCTCGCTGTCTCGTTCACTTTCGGCGTGAACACGACATGGTCTCGTACTTGTACGTCTGTTACAGCGTTAGACCACGATAAATGGCCGAACTTGTAGGCGTGGAAAAGTGACGTTTTGACGACGAAATTTTTGTTGCATGCCCTTTCGTTATTATTTGCTTAATTGTGAAAATGTGACTTATCTCAAAGTCGTAATTATGGATGAAAACTAAAGTTATCTTGGAATTTTGTATGTAAAAGCGTATATTTTACTTGTTCCAATAGCTGTCAGACCGTGTTTCTGCTCGAATATAGGCTAACTTTACATGCGTTTTACAACCATTTACTATCACGGGAGGAAAGGACAGTTTTCATTTTTCAAGGACAGTTTCAATTTTTACAAGTGTTTTAAAGCGATCTCGTCATTTCGTTTCATCCAAATTGTCTTTATTTAAAAATGGCATGCAACATAAGTTAACATGTCATTCCTCGCTTCTGACGTCACCATTCCAACATGGCCGCCGCGACTAGTCAGGAGCCTTAAATTGAAAAATGTTCCAGACAAAAATTTTGTGACTTTAAGGAGAACATAAAATGTACTGTTGATTTGATCTTGAGTAGCGTTGTCAAAGTCAGGTAAAACCACTTATAATTTTTTAAATAGGACTGCCCATATTCCACATTCTCGTAGTTTACGTAGTATTTTGAAAGCTTTTCAAAATACTATAATAAAATATTTTTTTCAGTAGGTATTTTTCGAGTTACACGGCTTGAAAATACCGCTAGCAATAGCATTACCCCAGTCGACAGTTAAAACTCTTGAACGTGCTCAGAGTCATGATAACCTTGATAACATTTAGATCAAGACTATTGGAGATCATTTTGCTAATTTTTGTTTTTATATAGATTAGAAAATAAAAATAACAATCCCCAATGGCCTTGACCTTGATAAATGTTATCAAGATTACGAATCAACTCAACCTCAAATATTTAAGATTTTAGTCGGATATCTTGAGTAATGCTATTTATTTATGCGTTCTCTTAGGCATTTTATTTTTACATAAAAATGAAATGATTTTCAGTGCAAAAATGAAAATAAGAAAAACAATCTCCAATGACTTTAATCTTAACGAATGTTATTCAGGACATAATCTTGAACAATATTTAAGAGGTTTTAACTGCCGGCAGTACTAAACTTTTAACCCTTATAACTTAAAAGTATTGTATGAAAAATAACTTTATTATAGTGTTTTGAAAAGTTCTTGACATCAGCTATTAGTTTCTGAAATAAAAAATAGTGTGTGCCATTTAAAAAAATTGATGTGATCTTGACCTAACCTTGGCGATGCCACTCAAGGTCAAACTGACTAGATCAGTGAATAGATCATTTAAAACCCTACAACTTTTGTAGAAAACGTTTCTTTCGAAAATGCTTAGTTTTCGAGATATTTCACAGATCCAGGACTTTTTACTCACCCTGTATATGTATATGCATACAAAAAAGATAGAGTTTACAATAGAGCCTTCTAACTCATGCACCGCGGACATTTCGTGCACACGATGTGCGACTTAGAAAAAGCTCTGATTTACAGAGTATAATTAAAATAATTATACATACTTGTTGATGTACCAGCATATGTCTCTGCAGATTGTTCAGTCTATTGAACTCGCGACCGCACACTTCACAATCGAATTTCTTGTCCGGGTCATGATGTTTCTTGTGCATACTCAAGTCAGTTATGTGATGGAAAGTCTTTTGGCATATATCGCATGTGTATTTGCGTTGTTCATTAGGCATATGTGATTCTTCATGTTTTGCTAAACTGGTCTTATCCATGAACCGCCGACCACAGTAAATACAAGGAAGTGGTCGCGATTGAGAATTATGCAGTGTCAAGTGACGACGTAGCGCCGTGGATGTAGGAAAGTTTTTGTGGCATTCCAAGCACTGAAACGGTCGATCGCCAGTGTGAGTCTTTCGATGACGGGCAAGCGAACCTTGATCTGGATACCTAGAAAAAAAAATGAAAACTTGATTTTATAAGAATTCTAATAAAAATTTGATTAAATAAAATAATATAGAAATAATAGATAATAAAAGACAAAACATGAGACAAAAGATTATATTAGGTGTAGTAAAAAGAAATCCATTATTTTTCCAATAGATGGCTTTAGTAATCTGTATCACGCGTAGACGAGATACAGATTACTAAAACCATCTATTGGAAAAATAATGGATTTTTTTTTACTACACCTAATATAACGCTCCAAGTATATGAAGCGTGTGCATCACGCGTGCGTGCGTATGTGTGTAGGTGTTTCATTTTAATTGATTAAAATATCTCGAAAATAAGACATATGTAGAAAAAAAGTTTTAGATAAAAATGGTACGGTTTTAAGAGGGACATATCTCGGTTATGAATAACATATTACAACATATTTAATATTTCATGTATGTAATATATGCCAGAATAAAGTATAAAATGTCTTGCAAACCATATTGATTTTTTGATATCTTTACTTTAATATTTTTATATGAAGGATATTTTGAGAAGTCATTATAAAAAAAACTGTCGAGTTTTATTAAAAAATTTTAGGTAATCTTGTTTTGAACTTAAGGACATCTTCTCAAAGTCACCCTCTTTCAACTGAGCAATGTTTGTCAAATATTTCTATCGGATTTTGAGGCATTCTACTGAATGAATTAAAATGGGTCTTGTATGAATACACACACACACACACACACACACACACACACACACACACACACACACACACACACGCGCACACACACACACACACACACACACACACACCTATATGTGCACGCACATACGCACGCACATCAACTGAATTTTTCAACTAACCTTTTAGGACACGAATCACAAGGGAAGTTTCTTGTAGTTATATCTTCTTCACGAGCGTGTTTTAGTCTATTATGCCTGAGTAATTGGAAAGATGTTTTAAAGCTTCTATTACAGATGTCGCACTTTAAATTGTCTGTTGTCGGTATAATAACTTGAGTTCTCTTTTGTCCATTCTCATCCTCCGATATTATCAAGGATATGGTCACAGTATTATCTTCATTATCATAATCTTGAAACGATGACGATGATACTGTACTACTAGTTGTCTAACAAATTATGAACATAAATAGAAAAAATGTTTATATACACATATACAAAAATTCATTAATGTACAATGATACCTGTTTATTAGAAGTAAGCTTGGAATCTATATCAGGCAGAATAAAAGTTTCCTCTTGGATTGTACTATTATTCTGATAAGATTTAGATTGCGAGTCTTTATTGGTACTATCATCACTACTTTCAGCAATTGCATAATTTCCATCCTCAGTTAAGTATACTGGTTGTAGAGTTCCACTAGCATCCTTAAAATACAATTGACCATCTTCGTCCTCGTGCAAAAATATCTGATCCTAAAAAAGCAGAAACAAGTATATTTACTTACAATATATTAATACATAGAAAAACGAATGATATTGTATTAACAATATTATTCTTTAATTAAACAATCCTTGAAATAACTTTAATGCAATAATAGTATTAATAAAACAAATAACATTTATCAAACAAGAGCATGATACATTTATTTCATTATTACTGTTATTGAATTAACAAGATTAGTTTGACTAGACTGTTATTAATTAATGTTGTTAATTTATAATTTTTTTCTTGTAGAATTTTCGAACATAAATGTTATATCGTATACTTGAGAATTATCTTCTTGATTTTGATTGGTTTCGGAATTCGCTACTTCCCAAGACATTTGTTCATCTTGTTCCATCGTCGCGTTATCATACTGATATTGTTCGTTATCATCGATGGCTTGTGCTACATACAATGTCTCCATGTTGTCTCCTTCATAGTAAATAGTACCCTCAACTGGTATAGTATTTGCTTCAAGTCGTTCCATCTAGAATAATATAATATTGACTCATTAATATTGACAGAATTATTTGCACATATAATATTTTCAAATACTAACTTTAACATAATGATCATTGAGTTTCTCTTGTTGTTGTTGTTTAGTGGAAGGATCTTGCTTCTTTGATCCTAGCACAGTGTACAATAGATTATTCTCTGTATTTTTCACTATCTCTTGAGTTGAATCACTGTCATCTACAATATCATTTACTTTATTCCCATGGGATTCTATTCGAGATTTGTCCGTCTTTCCTATGGGATCCACGTGGATTTTTAAATCTACTTTATTTGATTGCAGAGAGATAGTCCGATTATTTGCATGCTTTTTATCAGCCTGCGTTCGTAAAGAGTTCACATGATTATCAGTCAATTCAGAATTATTATCCAACTCATCCACTCGCTCCAGCTCCTCATCTTGCCAATCTTCATCAACATCATAGTTTATAACTTGTTTTGTAGTGATTTTGTATGTGCTATTTTTTACATGCTTGGTGGGTTCTTTTTCGAATTGCGAGGTAAACATTGAATTCTCATCGTCGAAGCTGTAAAGCTCTATGTTTTTACTAATCGCTCTGTCATTTCTCTTTGTCTTTTCAATTGTGTCAATATCTTTTGAATCTGTCAACTTGTCCTTATCCGAGGTATCATCATTTGGAGGTGTCTCGCTTTCCTCGACTTCCTCAATTATCTCTATAATTTCTTCTATTTCTGCTTCTTCAGAATCTTCAGTAATCATTTCAGATTCAAATATGATATCTCCTTCCATAACATTTCCATCTTTCAATACCTCCATAACAGCCTTATCATCTATAACCAAACTCTCCAATATCTCTGATGATAACTCCATTTTTTAATACCTACAAAGATTGTATTTGAAGAATAAATATACAAACGGTCTATGTTATAAAATTGGATATGCATAAGCAAACGTCCATGTTATTCTTTGTTACAAAAAATCATTATGAATTGCATACAAATAACCGACTTGCACCAAAATATAAAAATAAAAATTCCAGTTATATATGTTACAAAAATGATAGAAAATACAGATAATGTCGTTTACTATATGTTGATAACATTTATGTATGTTTTTACACTGCTTAAAATCTATCGCATACTCTATATATGTATGTATATATATATATATATATATATATATATCACTTAAGATCTTATTTATTTTGTATCTTTTATATTCATTGCATATGCATATCTTATATTGTTTAATTATTTATATATACTTTATACTTTTCCTTATATGTATTAGGTATTGGAATTAATTCGTAGCGTTTTACAAGTGATGAGAAGTACTTTCATTAATGTATTTTTTAATGCTCATGTGAAATAAATAACATTCTTTCATTAAAAACGCTACGAATTAATTCCAACACCTAATATATAAACAAAAAGTTATAATTTTATCTAAAATAGAAATTTTGTTATTCTCGATTTGGTTTAAACTTTTAAAAAAACCTTAAATCAATTATGTAAACTGTTTTTCTTTTTAATTAAACAATTTTCGATATCATTTATTTCTTTCGCTAATTTACAAGTAATTCCTAACGGAAATAAATGTATTCATAGCACAGAACCTAGTGGGCACATCGATACTTCTGGTAGTTGTTCTCCCGTCTCCTGGTAACGTTTTTCAGCCTTCGTAGCAAAAAGGGACCTTCTATTTTCGAAAAATATCGCATACGAAAATCTATTATAAAATAGGAAAATTTATAATATACGTAACGTAAATTGAAGTATTTTCATACATTTTTGTATACGATATTTTTCGAGGAAACCTGGGACTGAACAATGCGGCGTAAAACTAGCAAATTGGCGTATAAACATGTACATCTGTGAGGCAATTGTTGACCCGACGTTAAGAAAAAAATCTTGCACGTACGTGCCCACGGATAATTCTGCGCGATTCTTAGTCGAAGTCAAAGTCGTGCAAAAACTGAGAAAGAACGGAAGAGGAAAGCGAGAGTTCGAAACCATCAAAGGAGAAATATTGCGAGAGAGACGACTGAGAATCGCGTGTATATTCGCACCGCGGAAACGCAACGGCGCGGCTGGGCTGAATTGGCTAAATGCCCGCTTTGTGATTCCACAAGCGCGCAATTCCTTCCACTCGTTGACGTTCCCTCGCGCGTCTCGCTACGTCTCGAACCATCACGGACACCCCGACACGGACGCGTCAAGGATCGCGACGGATGGAATAGATGAAAATGTGTCGAGACGTTCCGCCAAAAGCTAAGCTTACCAGTCGGTACGAAAATCTCGTGAATTTATCAACGGCTAGCAATATGGCCAATCCGGGCAGCAGGGGGGAGGGAGTAAAACAAGGAGCGTTTATCGTCAAGCGGAATTACGATGCAGTGAAAACGCTGAGAAATTGCCACGCGTTCGATATCAATTATTGTTGCTCATCGATCATCGCATATACCTTTTGTTGTTTCGCAAGATCTCGGGCGACACGCTACACGTCACTAAGCCGATGACGATTCGATGTATGCTCGGTCGATACGCCAATTGTCTGAGGCTGCCTTTTCTGTCTTCTCCACCAGGCGAGCAATGCCAGGCCCGCGCGGGAGTTTAATCGAGTCGGCGCACATGCGTGGCCGGAAGTCATGAAGTAAGAGAGAAGCAAGCGAAACTCCGTAAAATGGAAGTAGTCCCGATTAGAGATTCAGCTGACCAAGTTTGCACTAACCTGAATTGAAGTAATGATGTTTCGTGCTCTTCTATTGGTAGAGCGTGTAATGTCAACCAATAGCAAAGCATTTTCTAACCCAAATTGGTGCAAACTCTGTCGAGCCGAAAACGTTAGGGAGCGTTCACATCTTGGCGAAAAAGCAGAAAGCGAAAAAGCGGAAGCCAATCAGAACTCACGGAAAAACAGAAGCAAACAAACGGAATGTACCGCTTACTACTATTGCAAGTTCCGATTGGCTTTCGCTTTTCCGCTTTCCGCTTTTCCATCAAGATGTGAAAGCCTATTCCACATTGTGCTTTATATTTTCTGTTTTCTGCTTTTTCCTATTTTTTACGCTTTATCTATTTGCTTCTTATCTGGTATTTTGTTTTATGTCGTATCGAAATAAAAATTAACGAACTTTGGAAGAAGCAGGAAACACGTAGAGAGCCTACAATCAGAGTGACGCCATATGGGTATCATTGTGATTAGTCCACCATGTTTTAGCCATTCCCTCCAGTTTTTTAAACGCATTATTTTCTAAATTTTGAATTCATGCTAAAAAATGCTCAAAAATTGTGGCAAATAAAAAAATAAATATTAAAAAATAAATGATAATAAATAAATATTGTATATAAAATAATAAAACTTATACATATATTATTTATTATAAAATTTCATTTATTTTGTACTATTGCAATATTACATTTTGTAATATTGCACATTACTTTAAACAAAACGTTATTTATTGCACATTATTTGTGCTATTAAATGCGCTAGTTTATCTATTCTCTGTTCCTACATTTTAGGAACAAAATGCATCTGTAATAATATAAAAGAAATAAAAAATTCAGAAAAATATTATATATGTATATACCATTTCATAAAATATTATATATTAAATATCGTAATTATCATATTATTTGATTTAGACTCACAATGCAATGATATATAATTGCGAGTAACGACGTTTCCCATGAAAAAAAAAACATCTTTCCGTCGAATATGGCCCTGTATCAACCCTGTATATATATATATATATACATACCATTTCATAAAATATTATATATTAAATATCGTAATTATCATATTATTTGATTTAGACTCACAATGTAATGATATATAATTGAAAAGATTACGACAAAAAGAGAAAGAATTAAATTCGTACCAATGTGATGACTATACATATACTTAGTGCAAAGACACTACATGTCTTCAGATATTATAATTAATCTGTGTATATTTTATGTTACATTTTTATTTTAATATTTTAAATACATTATTTATAAAGAATAAATTACTTTACCTCACATACAGATGAATTTTTTGACGGTGTTCAATTTTTATATTTGCCATTTATACTCTTTAACCAATTCATTCGGCGTTCTGTGTCTTTCGGAATTATTTTCATAACATATCCTTTTTTTAATGAATTGTTACAGAACGATATTGTATATCCAACCATATTTCTAAAATAATTTCGATAATTTTATTTTTATCAATGTACCTTTACGTATCTATGTCGTTCAATGCTGTTGCACCTAACCCTAAAACTGACAGTCTATTGGATAGACTGAGACCGTACATCTCTTTCTTTCTCGCAGAATTTCGCTAAAATATGATGTCATCTCTCATATGGCGCTACTCTGATTATAGGCTCTCTAGAAACGTAGCAAGAAATAGAATTGTGAAGAAAATGATTGCAAAGAGAAAAAAAGCAAGAAACAAGAAATAAAGAGCATATTGTAGAATAGCTTAAAAGTAAAGATCGGCCAAGGCCCGGCATGATGTTGGGAAATCAAAATCATGTGGTCATGGAAATCCGCGCCAATATATCAATGCCATTTTAATGAGAATCTTGACAGTAAGCTAGGAATCAATTGTACAATATATTTCGAAACCTGAGGTTTGTTCGCGTCGCATGCTCCAACATGCTCCAAAGTACTCCTGTTATAGCTTCTACTTTCACTTTAACGAGCGCGTTAGAGTGAGGAAATGCTCAGGAATAGCAGGAGAACGACCTCTAGTGTAAATAATAAAAAAACTCTCACTTGATTGGATAATTTTCATCATAATGAAAATGCGACATTTTTCACATGACATTACTCGATAAGAAATTTTATGTCGAATTGTATCAAATGATGTCAAAGCATATCGAGATTGGTCGAAATTAATTGAAATTTGTCAAAATTTGTTCTACTTAAAAGCATAGATTATTATTTCCAGCAATAAACATTATTTGTATGCTTTGTATGGAAGAAAATGACAACGAAGAAAATAATAAAAATTCGCAAAAGACATTTGAATTTAATAAGAAGACGATTACGAGATACTCAAGATCTATTTGAAATTCCAGACAATACATTTAGAAAATTATGTAGGTTAGTATATAAATATATTAAGTATATAAATAAATTATTTAAATAACTAAGATAAAATGGCTATACGGTCGAGAGGCTTGCAATTGTCTACGATCCAATTGTGCACAAGCCAATCACGAGAGCGAGAAAAAAAAATAAAACACTCCCTAGACAGAAGTCGGTGTGACTGGCAGTGAGCAATTACTACAGTGCTCAATTGAACCACTCTCTACATGGTCGAAACAAATCTTTATGCCTAATAATATTTTTGCGTACATTTCCAGTTTAAACAAAAATTATGAAATTGTAAGATTATAAAATTCACTCCAAAATATTGGACACTAATAGCATATTCGATTTACTGACTCGACCTGAGAAATCGGTCTGTTTTTCTTAGTTGCATTTCTTGCATAATTTAGCTATTCTTTTGCAGCTAAACAGAACAGATCTAAATTGACTCAGAGTTGGATCGAATCAATAAATCGAATACGCTATAAGACCGATTGACCGTATAGATAATTTTATTATGTTAACTATTTAAATAATACACTGTTCATAAATATCCTTATGTTGAAATAAATTATATTTTATTATAAATTATACATATACACGTGTGTGAGCTTACGTGCGTCATAACCAAAGTTAAATATCACTTTGGTTATGTATCATTTTGCACTCATATCTGTGATTTTTCACTCTCGTGAACATAGAGATATCGTATTTTCACCATACTCATAGCCAATTGCGCGTATTTTTTCACGTGAGATGAAAATACGAAAAGTGAGAAAATTCGATGATGATACATAACCCCTTGTAGAGAGCCTCACAGAGAAAGAGTGGTAAATTGCATCACGTGAATGCCCACGTCCAATCAGGACGGGGGTCAGGTGACCAGTTTTCCCCAATCTCTTTCATACCTATGGAGCTTTGATGTCCAATTAGAAGAGACGGGACACGTGATGCAATTTGCCATTTTCTCCCTGTGAGGCTGCTTTCATGCAACGTAAAGGACAATAAAACGAATAGGGAACAGAAAAAAAGAATTTCTAATCAGAAATTATTGTGGAATATACAATTTCTAGATTGAAATTCTTATTCTCTGTTCTCTGTTCTCTGTTTCTTTTATTATGCAGAGCCTCTAACTTGCGTAAGCGTAACTTGCGTCAACCAATCAAATCGTATCAAAGGATGCATTCGTTTATGCAGTGACCGCAGATGTCGTTTGTTTATTCTACTTGCAAAGGTGATTACACAGTTTGTCGTTCGTTTACGCAAAGATGTATATTATCTGCGCAGCTATCTCGAAGGTTCTGCTCTGCTCGCAATACTGCCGCTACTAGGTAAAACGAACGACAAACTGCTTTGCAGTCTCACCCTCACCTTCGTAGATTGAATATCTTGCTGTTCGTAATATCGGCAGCTAATAGTTGGTTGTATATTTCTGAAAATTAATTTTATTAAAATATTAAGTGAAAAGGGTGAAGAATTTGTGAAAATCGATCCTAGTAAAAATAATACAAAGTGAACGATATAATAGAAAAGTTATAAAATTTGCTAATTTATATTTACGATAATAAAATTAATAAATTATAAATATTTGTAAAATATTCATTACTTTTATATCGATAAAATTTAATATCTTAATAAAAGTATAATCTTTTATATAGTCTTTTATATAGTCTAAAAATATTACATTATAATTATACGTAAAGCGTCAATAAATTTCCGACTAATTACAATCCATTCTTTATTTATACTGTTAACAGTTTTCAGCTTTGTTTAGTTTTCTATTGAAAGATACGATACCGAGCAGCTATTCATGCAGAGGTCCATTCGATAAATTTAGATCATGTGATTAGCAGATGAGAAAGCAATAAATGCGCTAGTCACTGCGTAAACGAATGCACCCAAATTGTATCAATTACTACGCATTGTTCTAGTTGAGACGATTTGATTGGCTAACGCAAATTATGCTTACGCAAGTTACGCTGCATGTGGAAGCAGCCTGGGATGGCGTCACATGCGGTAACTTGCGTAAGCGTAATTTGCGCCGACCAATCATATCGTTTCACTTGAACATCAGTTTCTGTCTAGTCAATTTATGTTTTTTACGCTATTTTGTTGTTACGCCGAAACATGATGGAACCATGCGTCAAATCCAATTTTTGGTTCATTATTCTGTCTGAAAAAATACATATGGGTTTGCAACAGTAAAACAATTATAGACCTCATTTTGCCTCTGTGACAGATTTCCTAGCCTCAATAGTCATTAACTTTAACGCTTAATACCTCAGATTACAGAATAGAGCGACGTTTTTTTGCCAGATTCTTATATTGGGTCATCTAAAAAGAGATATATGACCATCAACACACACCTAGTGACAAAAAACCGCGGATACTTTTTAGATGACTCAATAATTCATTCAATCATCTGCTCATATGTACGCGATAGAAAGGTGCCGGTTCCCCATGAGGCGTACTTTTCGAGATGCGTAGGTTACAAACACCAATCGTAAATTCGTTTAGTATTTCTATTAGAGCAACAGGAATTCTGATCAGCAATTGATCGCATTTTTCTAATCTTCCGCGAAATACGCCTAATATAAATCCCAGCTTTCAGAATGACGTATTCTAGTAAATAAAATATAATGTATAGTAGTAATATTACTAGAATATGCAGATTACGCTTACGCAGGTTACGCTTCATGTGATGGCATCCTGAGGCTCTCTAACCTCCTGGTGTCATTTTTCTTAGGTTGGGTTTTCACTTGACTCTGCAAATGAGTGCCGTAGCGTCAAGTGAAAACCCAACCTTAGGGTGCCATTTCATGAGATATTAAAATTATAGAGCTTATACTACTAAAGGGCAATACGGACGTCGAATTGAGCAAGACTGAAGGTGCCGTCCCATGTACACGGAATCGAAACAACAAAACGGATTTCTTACTAAAAATGAGTTCACTAGCATTCCGTTACGTAAGAAGTTTCTCTGTATCGGAACCACCGGAATCATCGCCGGAATGGTGTAGAGACGATACAGAATCAACAGAATGTTATGTCGATTGCAGGCTATGTCGATCCAGATACTGATGGTTGAGAATTTAACAATTTTGAAGAAGAAAATTAATAATAATTCTTATTTTTCAATACGATATATTCTTGTTTTACATATACATAGTCCAACTATAATGCTAGTAATTCTTTAAATAATTCCAATATCATTCTGAAGTAATTAGAACTTCTAATGATCAATCGTTTGCATTTCAAAGACTATATTGTCACTTGCGCCTTGAAGACGCCTCATTCTTTGTGTAAACATTGACTGTATCGAATTTTCGTTTTCTTGTACATTTCTGCTGATGCAATAAAACGTTATAAGCGAAATAAAATTTTTGCACGCTCTTAAATATCAGAATAGCACGCCAACTTAGTATTTCTTACCTAAATAATTTCAACATTAGTAATAACACTATTTCTTCATTCATTGTTGTAAATTCATAAACAAAATTTCTGAATATTCGTTTCAATTTTTAGATTCAACCAACTCAGCTGAACATGCTATTCCGTTTCATAAAAATTTTCTCTATCCATCCTATATAGCCGGAACGCAATGGAATTTTGATAACAAAGTATATCTCATCCAGCAAATGAGAATGGATTGAAATGAATTGAAATGGATTCAGATTTTCAGAAATATTGATTCACGAATGTTAAAATGAATGCTTTTCAATCTTAAATGCATTTTTATTCAATTATAGGAATTGCATGAAACATATCTTTATACCTTTTAATTTAAAAATAATATTAGCTTTTTTTGTGCATTGTGAATACTGTTCAATTCAAAATTTTGAATAGGAAATGCAGTTTTTCAATTCAATTGCATCCAATTGAATCCAATTAAATCCAAAAAAAGTATTCGCTATTTAAAACGCATTCGGATAGAAAAAAATTTCAATTCATTTTAATCCATTCTCGTTTGCTAGGAACTTAAAAATATTGAATTATAAAAGTGCCCAGCAAACGAGAATGGATTAAAATGAATTGAAATATTTTTAATGCGTACTTTAAATCCATGAAAATGAAGTGAATGAATTGAAATGGATTGGATCCGAGCTGACACTAGTTTAATATTCGAAAAAAAAAAAAAACATTCATAATTAAGGGTTACAAATTTTAAGACATTTATAATAAGTTCCCAAGACAAATTTTCTAAGACATTTATAATAATTATACCTGAAATTAACTACTTCAAATTGATATTAAAAAACGCATCTTAGTGGGACGAACCTGGGACCTCTGGATTATGAGTCTTCTTCCGCTACATCACTTTTTCAATTGGTAAATGTGTTATTCATTCTCTACTTCAATTACAACCAACTAAACTAGTGCACAAAATTATATAGATATAATAAAAATATCATAATTTAACAGATATAATAAAATATAAATAATTTACATTATTATGAGACAACATTGGGTAAGTATCGGATAATCTAATCTCGCTTGGCTGATATCGCGCACCGTGATTAGTCTAATATTCGAACTGTGTTTGACTTGGTTTGCGAGTGTTCACATCGATTATTCATTTTACTTCTAATCAAAGAGAAACAAAAAAACATAGCTCAATTATTTTTACGTTACAACTTTTTTGAACTTAGTTGGATTAAAACGAAAAATTTCCTACTTATAATTTTGAATAATTTAAGTAGCATTTGTGGTCCATTTTTAAATAAAAATTTTTTTTATTCAAATTGAAAAACTTTTTTTTTAATTGAAAAACTGCATTTCATATTCAGAATATTAAATTGAGTAGTTGCAGAAATTGCTGATATTGTTTTTGAATTTAACTAAATTTAAAAAACTGTATTTTCTATTCACAATTCTGAATTGAATAGTATTCACGATGCATAGAAAATGCTAATATTATTTTTAGATTGAAAGGCATAGATGTGCTCTATGCAATTTTTATAAATAAATAATTAAAAATGCAGAATTGAAAAGACAGACATAGACATTTGCTTTATGTAATTCCTATAAATGAATAAAAATGCATTCAGGATTGAAAAAGATTCATTTTAATATTCATGAATCCGTATATCTGAAAATCTGAATCCATTTTAATTCATTTCAATCCATTCTCGTTTGCTAGGTTGTGACCGAGGCGACATTCCGTCTGTTTTCATTCCGTTCCGGCTACATGGGACAGATAGAGAAATTTCTTACGGAACGAAATTGTAGTGAATTCAATTTTCTATTAGGTGTTGGAATTAATTCGTAGCGTTTTTAATGAAAGAATGTTATTTATTTCACATGAGCATTAAAAAATACATTAATGAAAGTACTTCCCATCACTTGTAAAACGCTACGAATTAATTCCAACACCTAATAATAAGAAATCCGTTCCGTCCTCCCGATTCCGTGTACATGGGACGATACCCTCAGGGTCCTATGTACACGCCTGAACTTTATTAATAAATTTCATACCATCATTTTTTAATCAATTTCAATTGACTTGGAGTGATTTCGACCCAGCAAACGAGAATGGATTGAAATTGTTTTTCTATCCGAATGCGTATTTTATATAGCGAATACTTTTTTGGATTTAATTGGATTCAATTGGATTCAATTAGATTAAATTGGATACAATTCGATTGAAAAACTGCATTTCCTATTCAAAATTTTGAATTGAACAGTATTCACAATGTGTGTGTTGTGCACAGAAAAAGCTAATATTATTTTTAGATTGAAAGGCATAGAGATATGCTCCATGCAATTCCTATAAGTGAATAAAAATATTGGGTCATCTAAAAAGTATCCGCGGTTTTTTGTCACTAGATGTGTGTTGATGGTCATATATCTAGTGACAAAGTACCGCGGATACTTTTTAGATGACCCAATACATTCAGGATTGAAAAACATTCATTTTAACCTACAATAGTAATAAGACTCAATAAATTTAAAAAAACAGAAAGACAAAGAACTACGAGCCTAAAAACAATTATAATAAAATAAAAAATTTTTTAAACCGTTAATAAATAAAACATCTAGTTAAAATATAAACTTTAATTTGCCGGTAACAAACAAAATAAAACTAACGTTTCAATCCCTATTGGATCCTGAATGCATTTTTATTCATTTATAGAAATTGCATGAAGCATATCTCTATGCCTTTCACTCTAAAAATAATATTATTATTAAAATAATATTATAACTTTTTCTGTGCACAACATACACTGTTCAATTCAAAATTTTGAATACAAAATGTAGTTTTTTAATCCAATTACATTTAATTGAATCAAATTGAATCCAATTAAATCCAATTAAATCCAAAAAAAGTATTCGCTATTTATAAAATACGCATTCAGATAGAAAAAAATTTCAATCCATTTTAATCCATTCTCGTTTGCTGGGATTACATTGCAATATTGCTGGAACGTTTTATTGCAATATAACAAAAAGCGGACACCTTAACATTGTTGGAATTTTGCAACAATAATTCAGTAACGTTTCGCAACCATCATGCAATATTGCAATATTTCAGTGAAATCATTCTGCAATGTTTCTGCAATCTTTCTATGCTGTATCATATATAAATGATGCAATATCAAATGAATTTATGTAATGTCTTTAAGAAGTGACATGTTACAATGCTTCTCTATTACGATCAATATTACATAAAAAAATTAATCGCCGGAAAAAGGGCCTGAGTTGTGCCTTTATTCCGTCCATCTTTTCAATTGCACTGTTCCACATGGGTTTCGACTTTTCACGTGATGCAAAGGGGCGCACGATTTCTATAATTGTACTGTTGCAAAATCGAAATCCATGTGCATTTTTTTCAAACAGAATAAGCTAAAATGAGTCAAAAATTGGATTTTACGCATGGTGGTTTCCATCATATTTTGGCGTAACAACAAAATTATCGTAAAAAGCATAAAGTAACTAAACGGAAATTAATGTTTAAGTGTAACGATACGATTGGTCGGCGAAAGTTACGCTTACGCAAGTTACGCCGCATGTGACGAGAAGCACAAACTCTTGCATAAAGTATATTTTCTTATTGACAAGTAAAAGCAATTATATTTTTTCAAAACTACAACTTATTTGATATATTGAAGGCTTCGATTCGCTTCCTTTTCTATTAAATTTTGGAGTATTTCAAAGATTTCACTGAAAAAACTTTTACCGTCTTTCTCCGGATGGAGAAATATTGAAATGTCTTCAATCTACTAATTACTAGGTTATCTGATAGAGATTTCACTGATTAAAATTGAGGTTACGTTGGCTGGCTGTCAAAACACAATTCACAAATCTATGATATATTTATGATCGCTGACGTAACATCCGGTCGTATCAGATTTTAACAGTCATGAATGTAAAAATAACTAAGAATAAAACGTGAACCCCTAAAATTAAACCCCAAGCAAAAAAAATGCTACGAACTATATATTAGCAAAGGATGCGTTCAGCAGAACGCAATCATTTTATGAATGTTTGCCGAAATAAGACTATTCCTATAGATCTTAAAATATAATTTAATCAGTGCGAAAAAAATTTCCAACAATTGCAAAGTAAATATTCTGCTGAACGCAGAGGAAGAGAGCCAATGATTTTATAATATATAAATTAAAGAAGAATGACAACAGAGGTAAATACAAGTAGAACGAAATGAAATTTGTTTAAAAATAAATAGCATGAAAATGAATGAAAATAAAATTAAAACATAAAATTTCAGAAATATTAACTACCTTTTTAAGAGTATATTTAATTTTTTGTTAAGTATATAAGTACTTTATTATAGTACATATACAATTTGTCAATTTAAATCCAAAATATCAGTGATGATAGAATTGCTTAATATGCAAAGTAATAAATCAATATACAATTACATTTTCTCTCTATCTTTATTTTCGCCCTCTTCTTTGTTTTCATTCGTCGGTGTTTCAAAGAAATCAATCTGGATAAAATTAAACAAAGAAATTATGTGCACCCAAGGACTTCGATTCTTTCCCTCGGAAATTTTTATAAATTTAGAAGTGATCACCTTTTTACACTAATGCTCAGAGTCCATGCACGATTAACAGTATGACTAATACTATCTAATTTATTATTTATATTTGCGATA